AGTCGCACCTAGCCCGTGTCCAGTGCCGTGCCATGGCCCCAACAGGCCCGGCACGGGACCGAGCCCGGCCAGCCCGTGACTACCCGGTCTAGTGTGGACCGGTGGTCCAATCGGTCCGGTCCAGCCGACCCGGTTCATCCAGTTAGTGAACCGGCCGGTTTAACCGACAGTTCGAGTCCGTTTTGGTTCGTGATTTTCAGTCCGAGTCTTATTCTGAAATTTAAATTATTTTCCGAGCCAAATCAAATCAGTTAAGTATATCAGTATAATTTCCGGACTTAGAATTATTTCTGTGAACCTTTAGAGCGTTCCTTTATATCCGGACATCATATTAAGTCGAGTCGAGCATCTTAACAGTTAAACTTATTGATTTGAGCATAGTACTTAGTAATTGTTTATATTATGTTACAGTTTGATCAGTTCACGACTATCAGCACTTCCAGTTTCATATCTTCAGTACAGGTGGGGACTCAGACTGGGTATTACATTGATTATAATTACGATATCATGTTCAAGGTATGTCAAATTATGTTTTTCCGCTTGGAATGGATGTTGGCCGGTTCAGGTTGCCATAATTCCGTTCTAAGTTCTAGTGGCGTCATCTACCACTAGTATGTGCACATGGATTCCGACAATCATTGTTATCATCATTATCATTATTATCATGGCAGCCAGTAGATTCACGGATCCCGGTCCTGTTTATACTGTTGACCAGGAAATTCACGGTTATGATATATGCTTTTGATCATGATGTACTATTATTATTGCTGTTTACTTTAGTATGAGTTCCTACGGAGTACAGTGGTACTCACACCCCATTTTTATCAAATTTTTCAGGTCACGAAGTCGGTTCGGAGCTGTGAAGTTGACAGATGATCGAAGTTATATATTTTGATGTCATGTTTTGCCACGCTATATTTCCGCTGAATTTACTGTTTGACAAACTTTGTCTTTTGATCCGATTTCATAGTCGGATTGTATATTATGTTAATCTGTTTCTTTTGTAAATTTTAAATGATCGTAACGGATCTTTAAAGATAAATTAAATTTTTTAGTAACGCTCCGAATCATATTCTTAAACTATTTTTAAAAAGATATCTTACAAACGCACTCTGATAATTAAGTTAGGGCGGGGCGTTACATCGCACGCCGCCGAGCCACAATCATAACGAGGGAACTCGGACGCATTCCAAAACGACGACCTCACAGGAGATAACGAAGGCATCCCCTCCGAGCTCGGGGGCCTGTATGTTGACATCCGAGTTCGCCTCTCAAGAGAACCGCATCAAAGTTCGAACCAGGAGTCCGGTTCGATGTGCAGATGCCGAGCTGAACCCCGAATTAAGTTTAACCATCGCATCCTCTCGGGTCTATTCTCGAGACTGTCATTTATGCCGTTCAAGCACCGACGCCGACCTAACGTGGGCAACGGGCTGAAATAAGACTCGCGGGAGTCAAAAGAACAACGCGAGCTCAAGAGACGACCTGAGGCTTCAAAGCCCTTTTCCCAGAGGCAGGTACCGAGTTTGATAATAAAATAATAATGTCACTTGGGGAGTAATCATTGGTGATTGGACGGGACATCACAGCCTGCAGGCCTACACCTACTAGACAAGACATAAAGCTGGGCAGCATTAAATGACCCCCATGTATGCATTAAATGCCTGACAAGCAATGATGAGAAAAACCTCAAATCGCATTTAATCTGTCAGGAAGACGTCGAACTGCTCCGCCAGAGTGCTGTACACAAGACTTGTGAACAGTGTTTGAACAGTGCCACATTTAAAGCCACTATAAATACCAGCCCACCTCATTTATTTCTGGGTTATTGAATCCTCAACTAGCACACTCTCTCTCTAAACTTATACCAAGTGCCGACCTCGTACGAGAGGCCGACCCCGTGATCTGATAATAAAATCGTAGTTAAATCGTATCTCCTTGCCATTTTCTTGTCCTTTATTCCTGAAACTTGTTTCTTTAACCGTTGATCGGAAACGCCCGTCAACAGTAGATTCAAATCTCGAAAGTCTATGCACATGCACCACTTGTTCAGTTCCTTCCTCACCATCACTGTGTTAGATATCCATTTGGGAAACTGGATCTCTTTGATGTGCTTCGCCTTCAGCAACTTGTCCACCTCGATTTCAATGGCCTTATCTATCTCCGCCCTATGATGTCTAAGTCTCAGCTTTACTGGCCTCTTCAAAGGATCGACATAGAGTTTGTGCTGCAACAGCCCGCTACTTAGGGCCAATTTTATCGCAATTTATCTTTCGAAAACGCTCATAAATTTTTCGAAATCATTTGCAAACTAACTCGGGATGCTGCTAAAAACCTATCTGCTTTAAAAATCCGTTCTCTTTTAGACTGGATCTAACGACTGGTATAGACTTTAAGAAAAACAGATTTAAATCTTTTATGGAATCAAACATGTAAAACGGGACCCGTTCGTACTGGCGAACCGGGTAAAACTTTAAGTCTGGAAAATATTGTCATGCAAGTTCAAACTGAAAATAAACGTAGCGGAAGTCTTAAAATGCGTGGCATAATAGTTATACAATCATAAGTAAACAAATGTCCACGGAACGGCAAGCTGGGCCAAATCCACGACCACAACCACCACAGCTGCCCTCACGCCTGCCCACCGACCCTGTCATCTGAAAAACATAATGGGGGTGAGTACTGCTCCTTTTGTACTTTATAAAAACCCAGGCTAAAGCAAACATCAATAATAATAATGATATCATAGTACAGGTATATATAAGTAAACTGAAATCTTTTGGAACCCTATGGGCGGTAACTCCCCGAACACTCTGGCCGGTAACTCCTGGACTCTCTGGCAGGTAACTGTGTGCACACTCTGATGGTATATTTAAGGCGAATTGGGCCACCACCAAAACATAGGGGAGGGCAAAGTGGGCCTCGACCCCAAGCGGATAAACTCATATACAGACCTGAACATGATATCGGCTATTATACTTAATGTAATACCCAGACTGGGTCCCCATCTGATCTGCTTTGAAAATACGTAAGTGCTGCTGTGCTGGTAGCTGACTCCTCAAGCTACATAAAAATATAAGCAAACAAATATACTAAGTACTATGCTCGTCATATGCTAAGATGCTCTATTCTATCAGATAACTTATCCGGATATATAGGAACACTCTAAGGGTTTGCTAAATAAAACTAAGTCCGATAATGAGACTGAATGCTTAACTGATCTAGTTTAGCTCGAAAAAGTACTTAGGTTTCAGAATAAAACTTGGACCGAAATACTCAAACCAAAACTGACTTGAACCGCTAGCTAAACTGGCCGGTTCGCTGACTGGCTGAACCGGGTCAGGTTGAACTGGACCTGGTTGGACCGCCGGTTCACTCTAGACTTGGCGGTCACGGGCTGCATGGACTGGCCAGGCTCGGTCCCACGCAGGGCCTGCTGGTGCCCTGGCCCGGCGCAAGGCACGAGTTGGGTGCGACCGGGCCTCGGTACTGGGCGCTGCTGGCGCGGACAGGCGCGGCCACGCTCGGCTGGCACGACCTTGGCACAATTGGGACCACTAGGGTGCTGCTGGGCACACCCAAGGTGGACTGGGCACTGCGGCGTGTGCCTGGTCACGTCCCGAGTGCGGCTGGCACAAGAACGGACGCGACCAGACCCTACTCGCGCGACTCTGGCGCGGCTGGGGCTACTAGGGTTCTGCCGGGCTACCCTGAGGCTGACTGGGCACGCGGGCGTGCTGCTGGGCACGTCCCTAGGCCAATTGAACCAAGGGAACACGACTCGGGTTCACTCGGGGCACGACACTGAACGCTCGGGCATGCTGTTGGCACGACCCTAGACCTTACTCCGCGGGGCATGAGCTACTGGCTCGAGACCGCGCGGGCACTGACACGGTGATGAGAGATCATGTATCCGCTCAACTTGTTTGCCTTGAAACCCGCGCCGACGTCTTGGTCCCTAAGCGATAGTTGCTAATACGCGCGCCGACGCCTTCGTACTTTGCGATAGGTGTGAAGAAAATCGAATGTTGGTCCTATTTCTATCAGGTTTTGTATGTAAACTCACACGAATTAACACACGAGAATTTGAACAAACGTTCGATTTTTCTTATTACTTGGATATTAAAATTGAATGACAATGGGTAATATTTAAAGAGGCTATGTAGATCTAATCCTATACTAACTAGAACTCAAACTCTTGGAAATAAAATAAACTCCTAAGGTAACTAAATATCTAGAATCAAAGACTTACCAAATAACTAATTAGAAGTCCTAATGCATAGAAATAAACAACGTCCTAATATACTAGGGAAGTCGGTTGTCTTGCGTCGCACTCCTTCCGGAAGCCACGCCTTAGACGACGCGCTAGTCCTTGTCGCTCACGGTATCGCACGCGTATGTGCCCCATGCGTCGCCCGTCGTCCCTCGCGCGTGCTCGCCCCTTGCACCCTGCGCATTCTCACCCTTTGCGTCTTTCGCGTGCTTTCCCCGTCCGCGTGTGGTCGACAGCTAGCCCCCAAGCGTCGTTCACCTCTCTCGCCCTGGCCATCCATTGCGTGGTCGAACTGCATGCGCGCCATCCTTCGCCAGCCGCTCGACCTCATCGATAATCCCTTGTCATCGTCTCGCTGCGTGTGGGCCGACTCGTGTCACGCACGTCTCCTCTCAGCGCATCCGTGTCGCACTCTTGCGAGCATTGCGCACCTTTTCCTCTTGCGTACGCGTGTCTCGATCGTCGACTCGCGTACTCTCCTATGCCATTGCGCACGTCTGCACTCTCGTATACGGGCTCGTATACGTCTCCTTGGCCATGGACGCATTGTTTCGGCCCTTTGCTCGGCCTTCTCGGGTCGTCTCATCCCATGACCGCGTGCATCTTCGGGCCTCGAAAGCCACATTTTCATTAGTCCTCCCCCCTTCTAATGAGTCCTTGTCCTCAAGGACTCGTCATCAATCATCTGTTGGGGCGTCAGCTCCTCTTCATCTGTAACGTCCCTCACGTGCGTTGCCTTATCATGGCCCACTTCGACCGCGACCAAAGTCTCCTCCTTGACCTCGTCGACCACATCTTCTACTTCGACCCCCTCGGCTTCTATAAGCTGGACTTGAATTCCTTCGGCCTCCACCAAGACCTCACTCTCAGCATCGATTACCTTGTCCTCGGTCACCTCGATTACTTCAATGCCCGCGAATGTGTCATTGTCGGAAATAGGCGGACTTTCATAACGCGTCGACTCCTTCACGTACTCGGTGGCCTTCATGTCCTTAAAATATCTTGGGAATTCAAACTGAAAATTGGGCCCCCTCATCGACATATTCCGGAAACTCGAACGAAAAAATGGGTTCCTTGTAAAAAATCCTGGAAATTCAAACGAGAACGTTAGTTCATCGTAAAAAAATCCTAGAAATTCGAAAGTAAATTTTGGCTCCTCGCACTGTTCTTTGATCCGGCCTTCTCCCTTTTTGGACTTGCCTAGGCCTACGCCGGTCCCTTGTTGGTTGCACCACTCCGCCATGCGGCTCTCGGACCAAAATCGATCAGTTGCCTTGTCCCTACGGTTTGCTCTTTGTGACCGGTGTATGCTCGGTACCGCATGAATGGGCCCGCCGCTACATGTGTGTTGCCTGTTGCGTTTGGTGCGGCTCTCGGTTTTATTTGCGAGACTTGCGTCCAATTAGTTCTCGAACGCTCTTCTTCAACTGTTATAAGGCTTGGTTTCTTTCTTTCTCCCATGTCTCCAATTGATCTTTCCACTCCGAGCTCATTAACATTATTTTTTTTTAAATTTAAAAGCTCACAAAAGAAAAGAAAAATTCGAAAGAAGGAAAAATTTGAAAGCGTAAGGAAAAGTTTAAATTGATACACGATCAATCACTCTCAATGAAAGCACCAATGATGAAAGATCGTGTATCCGCTCAACTCGATTTGCCTTGAAACCCACGCCGACGCCTTGGTCCCTAAGCGATAGTTGCTAATACGCGAGCCGATGCCTTCGTACTTCGCGATAGGTGTGAAGAAAATCGGATGTTGGTTCTATTTCTATCACAGTTTTGTATGTAAACTCACACGAATTAACACACGAAAATTTGAACAAACGTTCGATTTTTCTTATGACTTCGATATTAAAATTGAATGACAATGGGTAGTATTTATAGAGGCTAAGTAAATCTAATCCTATACTAACTAGAACTCAAACTCTTGGAAATAAAATAAACTCATAAGGTAACTAAATATCTAGAATCAAAGACTTACCAAATAACAAATTAGAAGTCCTAATGCATAGAAATAAATAAAGTCCTAATATACTAGGGAAGTCAGTTGTCTTGCGTCGCACTCCTTCCAAAAGCCACGCCCTAGGCGACGCGCTAGTCTTTGTCGCTCGTGGTATCGCACGCGTCTGCGCCCCACGGGTGGCCCGTCGTCCCTCGCGCGTGCTCGCTTCTCGCGCCCTGCGCGTTCTCGCCCTTCGCGTCTTTCGCGTGCTTGCCCCGTCCGCATGTTGTCGATACGCTAGCCCCTAAGCATCGTTCGCCTCTCTCGCCCTGGCAATCCATTGCGTGGTCGAACCGCATGCGGGCCATCCTTCGTGAGTCGCTGGACCTCATCGATAATCCCTTGTCATCGTCTCGCTGCGTATGGGCTGACTCGTGCACACGTCTCCTCTCAGTGCATCCGTGTCGCACTCTCGCGCGCATTGCGCACCTTTTTCTCTTGCATATGCGTGTTTTGATCGTCGACTCGCGTACTCTCCTATGCCATTGCGCACGTCTGCACTCTTGTATACGGGCTTGTACACGTCTCCTTGGCCATGCACGCATTGTTTCGGCCCTTTGCTCGACCTTCTTGGGTCGTCTCATCCCATGACCACGTGCATCCTCAGGCCTCAAAAGCCACATCGTCATCATACGGGAACAGCGCTGCCGAGCTCTGTCTAAGGCACTGGGCACGACTGGTGCCGAGACCTCGCACGCGGACATGGACTGGGTGTTGCTGCGTGCGCTGGGGGCTGCGGTGCCTCGCGTACACTGGACGCGGGCATGGACAGAGGCAACCTTAGCCTCTGCTGGACACGGGCCCGGCACTGTGCGCGCTACATGCGCGGCCAGTGACCGTGGCCGGTCCTTGCCGGACTTTCGGCCACTTCTCCGGTGACAACCAACTCAAACCAACATAATATGATGAAAGACACATAAAAATGCCAAGAATCAATATGAGACCTCGATTGGATTAACAGATGGTCTTATAGGGCCGATAAGGCCCCGGATAAACATGCTAAACTTATAAAATCACTCAAGGCCGAATAATAAGCATAAAAAATCAAGACTATAGAGGCTAATAGATTGTCTATAACTCACATGCATATCAATTTGGCTCGGAGGTGAAAATAGGCTCGATTTCACCATCAACTTGGCTGAACAAATGAACTCAAAGCATGCATATCTTTTACCAATGTCATATTCATGATTTTTGAGGAATTATAAGGGACAAAAATTGGCCTAGGCATGCATGCTACTCAAATTCCAAAAATAGGGCTCATAACTTTGAAAATTCAAAACTTGCTCTAAAACATGTGCATGCATGGAATTTTCGTCATGATAATTCCTAAAATATCATGTTAATGCTAAGGAACAAGTAAGGCACAAGCTAACCTTTCACCCACTCGGAAATGGCGCTAGGTACCCTTGGCTTGTGTCTCTCGCGCCTATGATGACTAAAGCTCGACTTGGTGTCTTATGGCAAAGAATGATGGACTCAAGAGGCTTATAAAAATCCACCAAATACTTGGATAATCATAAGACTTGAGAGAGAATAGCTGGAACACGATGAAACTCGAAGCTCCTCCTTCCCGGCCTTGCTCGCGCGCGCGGATGGACTAAGGCACCCTCTCGGTTTTTGCTCTATAATTCTCTCAATATGCTGAAGCTTTCTAAGTGTCCAAGAGCTTGAAAAACTCAGAGGAGTGTGTCTTATATAGAGCACAATGACGAACAACCAAAGCTCAACATGGGGGACAAAGTGGCGCACCACATCACCCTAGGCGCATGGTCTTCTTGTGGTGGACTTGTGTCGGGGCATGAGCACGTCTTGGTGGAGTGCCAGCAACATCTGGACTGACCAAGGCATGCAAGTTGTGTGGGGAACAATTCTGGTCATGCTTAAGGTAGTGGGGAAACCATTTCCTACACAAGCATTATTTTATTCCCATGCCCATGCTCCATTACTTGCTAATGTTGGTTTGACTTTCCTTAAACGTTGATAAGGCAAACTTAATCTGAATTAACTCCTCTAAACCTCCAGAATACTCTTGATTACTCGCATCATCTTGGACTTAAGATGTTTGGGCCGAATCACTTGCCTTTGGGCTTGGAAGTGCAACTGCACATGGGCTAGTGCTAGGATCCGAGGCACGCATATGAGGGGCTGAGTGCACGGCTTGCTAGGGCCAGATGAGCAACATACTTGGGCTGAGAATACTACTAAGTCATGGCTGATGCTATTACTAAAAACACTTATAAAAGTCCTTCGAAACATGGCAAAGACTTGGGCTCCTTCTCGCATGGCATTAGGCATTCGCGCGAGGACTTTGGGCGCGCATTACTTGGGGCTCGGCATTATAGACTTTGACCGAGAAACTTGCTTGGTTCTTGGATGAATTAATGGGCCCTAATACTTAGGAAAATATTCCCTCATGTATGCTAGGACTCGGGCACTCTCGGCAAGGCTTGGGGACTCGCACTCGGGCGAGGCGCGCGGCATTTGGGCACGGGTGAACTAGGGCCGAGGGCATGGTTTCTAAGGCTCAACAATGATGATATCATACTTATAAAAATTCTAAGTAAGTCTACAAGCACGACTAGGGCTTGATCAAGACTCGTGTACTACTAGGGCTCGAGACTTGGCTAGGCGCGAGACTCGTGACCGAACATAATCGGTTCCGGACACGGCTTGACTTTGATGATTTATCGAAACATACTCAGTTTCGATTATTCGTCAACTGGAAATAATTAATCCCGACTGAATAAAATCCATTTCTATAAATAAATGGACTGAAATTAATAACTGAAATTGAATAGCTGAATAATTGGGCGCGGAACTCGAAACGAGCAATATTAATAATAGAAAAATTGTTCAAACTCGGAACTAAACTGTCACTTTTATTAATAATAGAACGGGGATATTACAATCTATCTCCCTTAAAAATATTTCTGCCCTCGAAAATACTAAAACTGGAATACATACAAACTAGGTACATATCAGAACTCAAAATTTAGAAAACGAGCCCTAATGTCAGCTTCGCGCTCCCAAGTGGCATCTGAATCTCCGTGGCGATTCCATCTGATAAGAACGAGGGGAACATCTCGTTTCCTGAACCGAAGAACCTTTTGGTCTTATACTGCTACCGACTGCTCCTCGTAAGTCAAATCTGGCTGAAGCTTAATCTCATTGTGCTGTAGCACATGCTCGGGATCGCACACGTATGGGCGTAACATCGAAACGTTGAACACATTATGCACGCTAGCCAACTCAAGAGGCAGGGCTACTCGATTGGCTACTTCGCCCACTGAATCGAGAACCTCGAACAGGCTTATATAGCGAGGATGCAACTTCCCTCTCTTCCCGAAACGAACAACACCTCTCATCGGTCGAACTTTCAGGAAGACATGATCTCCGGGCTCAAAATGCATCTCCCGTCTATGCTTATCGGCTGAGGACTTTTGCCGAATCTGGGCTGTCTTGAGCCTCTCTCTGATCCAGGCTACTTGCTCAACTGTCTCCTCGATCAACTTCGGACCGATTACTCGTCGCTCTCCGACGTCATAACAATAAAGGGGCGAATGATACTTGCGGCCGTAAAGTGCTTCGTCGGGAGCCATCTGAATCGAAGCCTGATAACTGTTGTTGTAGGCGAACTCGACTAGTGGCAACCACTTAGCACCTCTGTCCAGAATTAAGGCTGGAGCACATCCTCGAGCTTCTGGATCGTCTTTTCAGACTGGCCATCTGTCTATGGATGGTAAGCCGAACTGAACTTCAACTGGGTGCCCATTGCCTCATGCAAACTTTCCCAGAATCTGCTAGTGAATCTGGGATCTCGATCAGAAATGTTCGTAACGGGCACTCTGTGGAGTCGAATGATCCCACAGGTATATATCTCGGCTAACTGGTCCATCGACATGGTCATCGTCACAGGCATAAAATGTGCGACTTTCACAGGCATAAAATGTGCGACTTTCATCGGACGACTTAGGTAGACCTGTAACAAAGTCCATGGTGACTTCTTCCCACTTCCAACCGGGAATCTCAAGTGGCTGTAGCAGACCTATTGGGCTCTTGTGCTAGGCCTTAACTTGCTGACAGACCAAACACTTCTTCACGAAGTCTGCTACATCACTCTTCATTCCTCGCCGCCAGAACGACCTTCTCAGGTCGTGGTACATCGTAGTACTCCCAGGGTGGGCTAAATATGGCGCACTGTGGGCCTCAGTCAGGATCTCCTTGCGTAAAGTCCTGACT